CCGGAGCTGCCGCAAGGAGCCAAGATGCTCAAGCTGCCCACACAAGCGGCATCTGTGGGAGCGGGGTTGGGATGGTGCCTGCGGGCAATTGGGGTGTCTGGGGAAGAGACAGGGCGAGCGGGACAAGCTCAGCACCCAGGCCGGCTCTCTGGGGAGCTGTCTGAGCTCCTCCTGGCTGCCGTCCCTCTGAGTTTGGTGGTGTGGGTGAGGTGTTTATTCTCCGTCAATAGATAACCCTGGCAGGTTGGCAGGGAGAGGGGAGCACTTTGTCACGCAGCCTCTTGCCCTGCCAAGCGCACCTTGTTTGCTCAAGCAGTTTCAGTTTTTCTCCCCGCTGTGGTTTGTGTTACCTAACTGGCGCGGGACAATGTTTAACCAGCTCCAGCAGCAACAGGGAACATGTCTACCTCGCCTCCTGTGCCCTCGGTTGTCCCCGCTGCCCGCCGCTGCCACCCCACTGCCACGTGAGGCTGGGAAGTCTTGGCGCAGAAGCAGGGGGTCCATAGACCCCTCAGATGAATGGGCACCTTGTGCCAGAGGAGGAGGCACAGGCTGGGGGACCAGATCCTGCAGCCTCCCATGAAGTCTCTATAGGTCCCTGGGGTGAAGAGAAGTGGAGGAGTGGAGAAAGGGGAGCAAGGGCAGACACACACCCCCCAACACACACTCAGGGTAACCTCTATGCAACCTCCAAGCCCGTATTAAGCCAACCCAACAGAGCCTCCCACAAAAAAGAAGTGATTTATTTGGGTTTTCCATCTCCTTGGAGGTGCCTGGATTTTATGGTTGTGACAAAAAAAGGGTCTTTTCCCTCCAAAACAACCTCTCCTCACACGTTTACAGTGGGCTCTGCTGGGAGACCTTTCCAGCCGAGTGGTCCCAGGTTGAACATGGTTCTGGCACACAGTTCCCATGAAGATATCTTGGTTGTCCCTCAAGTCTGAGCGTTAAGGAGGGTTTTCTCTCCCCCAGAAACGGGGTGAGGGGAGAGGTTTTGGCTGGGCCAGCAAGAAGGTGTCCGATATCCCACATGCCAGACCATGAACTGCCCTTGGGCACAACAGCATGACTTGATTTTCCAGCTGAGCTGGACCGTGGCCACCCTTGCAGCGGATCAGGGTGGACAGGAATGTGGTGGGGATAGGGGCAGCCTGTGGGAGGCAAAGACCATCTCCTGGGACCCCCTGCTCTTCTTTCCACTCCCACAGCCTGTTCTACAAGCTCACTGCAGTCCATACTGGCTTCCCTCCCTTATTACCCTCCCCCTGCTGCCCCTGGCTCAGCCCCACTGCGGAGCAGGACTGAACCCCATAGAGGGAGTGACTGGGGATGGATGTGGGGTCCCAGCTGCTTTCCCATTGCCATGAGCAAGGCAGCTCCCGGTGGCACAAGGATGGAGACTGGCCCCAGCTCCACAGGGAGGGCAAGAGGAGAGAGCCCAGGTCTGGGGCCTGG